AGAGAGGATAAAGGATAGTGAACAGAAGCGGTTGAGGGTGGAACACAGGTTAAGAAGCGAAAAACAAAAGCTGAAGCGACTACAAAAAGCTGACAAAGCACAACCAAAGGAGTTCATGTGAGTGGAATTCCTCGATATTTCACTCTCAATATTTCGCAAACTGATAGCAGTTAAACTCATGTGTGAGGAAAAGTGCAGTTGATGTTGTCGCAATCAGCCTGGACGGTTTCGGGAAAGGATTGAATGAGCCTACTCACACCGTTTCCACATCGTTTTCTTCTTAACTCGATCACTAAGGCATTGTTCACAGTCTGCGACCCTGACGAAACAGCGGTTCGGCGAAAAGCAATAAATACGTATTGATCGGAGAATCGCCAACCGCTCTGGAGAAACGCCGCCGCGGTTCGGCGGTTCGGCGAAAAGCAATAGATGCGTATCGATTTCGCTGGCTCCGCCCTAGAGAAAAACGCGGTCGGGCTAGCGTTTTTCGCCCAACCGCTCCGCCGAACCGCCCGTCGATACGTATCAAAACCGTTTCGCGCAACCGCCAGACTCTTCGCCCAACCGCCAATCGATACGTATCGAAAGCTTTTCGCCGAGCGTTTTTTCTAGAGAAACGCTGGATCGCAGACTGTGAGCAATGCCTAAGTGATAAATATGGGTAGGGCAAGACAGCCGGAGCCGGAACAGCGCCTCTGAAAGTTGTAAGATAGAGGCGGCGTTGAGTCAGGCGGCTTTTACTGAGCTCCATTCACTCCGGCCCCCCTGGTGTATGTCGTGTCGCTGTTTGTGTGCTATCGCCCTGCTTGTTTTGTCTCTCGCTGGAGATCCGAACGAATCTGCGCTTCTTGTTTGGAATGCAGGGAGGGACTTATTTAGGACGTTTCCTTCGCCATTTCCACGGGCAGGTAAACTAGCGCACTTTTGTTTTCAACTGCGCCACCAACGAAATACAATCATAAAGTACTACGAGATCGAATAGAATTGAGTCAGTTAAATCGAGAATCCGAAAAGATTATTTCGACTAACTGTGAGCGAATTTCTCGAAAAGCTATGTTGTATATGAATGTTCTCATGCAATTGTTACAGTCATAATCCCTACAAATGGGGGGGCGTTTG